GAGGAAGTCTTAATAGAGGGCCCCAAAACAGATTTAATATCTCTGTATTTCTCAAAACACTATTGGTATTGAAAGAGAAAAGATCATCCACAGTCAACGTTTATCTCACTAGTGGATAGATATGTTGTGTGTGAGTGGCCTTTTATTGTTTAGTGATGAAAAAGAACACAACTAAACCTGACCAATAAAAAAAAAATGTAAACGCAATGTACAGCTGCTGACCCCCCAAGGAAGTGATTTTATTTATTTATGGATTGTTCTTAGATGTACTTAATATTATCAATAGAGTTATACAAAGCTGGTTCTTACACACGGTTTGGTGCTTGAAGGACTGTCTATTAATATACTGTATAAGTATCACATCCCCCTCATTGTGTCCAATATCATAACAATATTATATTTTCATTTAAAGAATTATCCTCCCATTTTAAAAACATATTTTTCACCAAGTAGTGTTTCTATCATGATCCAGACCGTTTTGTCAGACACTGTTATCTGAAACGTCAACACAATTAAAAGTAGCCCATAATTAATTTAATTTGCCTCAATGACTCGTTACGTGAGCCGACTCCTAACATGATGAGTAAATGAGTATTCCAATATGACAAGTTAAAATGATAAGGTCAGTACTGCTGAACAAAAAGGGACAATTTTGTGTCATTCAACAAGGGACTAGATTACACTCATGTTAAATAAACAATGAATTAGAGCGAGTGAACAAGAACAGATTGATTTGCTGTTAGCAGCGCTGCAATTAATCTCACACCGCAAATGAGGGTAAAGAAAAAAAATCCAAAGAATAAAAAGATACACTGAGCACTATTGTGGAAGCAGCATTGTTACATGTCATTGGCAAATAGTGTGTGTAATGTCCATGTGTTATTACAGGTTTTGTCTTCCCCTGCCTAACAGGGGTTTTATACTTTGTTAAATTGTCTTTCTTTGAAAGAAGAAAGACAATTTGCAAATCGGATAATTTAATTTGTTTCTTTTGCAGGTTTTGGTAAATATTTCAACACTGGAATGAGGAAGATAAGACTATTAGCATAATGTCACTTCATCTAAGATGTGTTTTAAACAGAGTTACTTGCTTTATAAAAACACATTTTAAACTATTTAAATTGTGCACATATATGTGAGCACAATGTCTTTGTCACTTTGTGAGTTCAGCTCATTCTTTTATACAATTTATAATTTCTGAAAGTAAAGGCATTTCTCATGAGCAAACATATCTGTACACACTTCTGTGAACGTTTGGCAGCAAAGTGTACAACTTCAAATTCTTCAGAGACAGGCATTTTTGTCTTAGCTGTGATATTTGACTTTTTGGGCAAATGTGCAAATGTGTGCATCCCTGCATGCTCCCAACCCACCTACAAACACACATCCACTAAACCTAGCCTCTCAACACACACTCATCCATCCAACCACACACATACACACTCATGTGGATATTATCAGCGGTGCTCAGCTGAGGCTCCAGGCCTGTCCGGTCCCCACGGCGTAGCGGTGACCAGGGGAGGAAGAGCTTATCTCGGCCCCCGGCCCCTCCCTCGGCCCCATGCCTTGGCTCCGGGAGCTGGGAGGCAGATGCCATGCAGGCCCCCAGTGTGGCGTGTTTCTGTGGCCAAAGCGAATAGCGTTTAATGCTTAAGGGACAAGCTTTTGAACCAGACAGTTCATCTTGCCTGTGTGTTTGTGTGAGAGTGAGGGTGTTTCTGCAGGCCACACAGCAGATGGAGGTAAAGGCTTTGGGTATGACCAACTCCCTCTGGCCCACCTTGACCAGATCAGAGCATTTGGTACGCACATGCAAACACATTGACACATGAACCGCCTTCAATCCCTGGGTGATAATAAAAGGGACTGAATTATTGCCAGGTGTAGTGTCATTTCAGGATCATATGCTTCCTTTAAATTCAAAAATCTTTGGAATGTGGTGTAAAATCATGTGATGATGAAGACGAGCATAATGAAAGTCGATACAGAGATTAATCAGAAGATGCTGATTGAGAGAGTGAGGGCACTTTTGAAACCCCAGTTACACCATTTTTTTTACTGATTTCAGATAAAGTCAGTTTTCTCATGAGCAGTTGAGCGGATCAACTCACATCCACAGCACGTTCTCACGGGCACATTGCATCATAATTTCCATTCATAACTAACTATTTTCCCATTGAAATGGAGAGCATTTCATTGGATGACAAAAGTGAGAACAGGTGTTTTTGGAATGCGCAGCTCAAAAACTCCAAATGAATATTAAAGAGATGAGGTTAACAGCTTCGAAAAGCTCCTTTCGTCTCAGTGAATTATGCTAAGTGTTCACAAAACATTGGTCTAAATATAGTGCTGCAACGCGACGCAGATTAGCTTCCACAGTGATGGGTCTATAAGACGCCGGCAGAGAGCTGTCTTCCCTTCTTTGACTGGCACTGCTTTGAACCCCAGCGCTCAAATTCACTCCACAGTGGATACATATCTGCTAGTGTGTGTGTGTGTGTGTGTGTGTGTTTTGTGTGTAGTGTACCTATTAGCCTGTTTTTGTATCATCGTTCATGAGCCAAGCGTGATTGAGTTTTCTGTATTCGAAAAAAATTGAAATCTCTGACGTAAGGCATACAGGGCACTGCGGTAGAATAAAAAATATGACGCTATCGAGTTTATTTAGGAGCACGAGAGCACCTTCCTCTTGGCTTTTCAAAGGCATTAAAGAAAGATTAAAATGTACGCTTGTGGGGCTAACTATGTAATACAGACTTGGAACCCCCGAAAACATCGAAGGGTTCGACTGCTGTTTTAGCGAAGGCACCCATGCTCTAATATTGAAGTCTTGCCTTTGATGTTTAATCACACATGCGCATGTCTACCACTCACACAGGCACAATACATTTGCTGAGATAAAGTGACTGCAGTGTATGACCCATTTTGCAGAGGCAGGGTTTTTTGCTTTCATAACGATGGGGTGTGAGTGTGTTTGAATGCCCAACCAGTATCTTACAACGGGATGATGCAGCACGACAGGCTTTTACATTTTGAAAAGGAAGTGCAAGGCTGGTTTCTGGTAAAAATGCTATGGTCACAGGTCCAGTCATAATGCCGTTAGCTATACTCTCCAAGGGCGACAGGCAAGCAAGTACTGAAAGTACTCACAAGTGGAAACGAAAGAGGGAGCAATGAGCATTATCTTGAGATTACATTTAAAAAATCTAGTTCAATGGGTATGTTGTGAAATATATTTCATGTTCCTTAAGTGTGGCGACAAGCTTCGAATACTCCTGAACATGCTCCTCAAGCAGTTAATAATCATTGTTTCATGGTGTTGGAGGAGCGAGGCGGAGATAATGTTTTGTGTCGAGATAACGCGTTGCCTTATTCCTGCCGCCTCCCGTTAACGCACAAGACAAATGGAATGGGCGCATCGCCTTGGAGCCATCCAAATGAGGGTGTCTGCCGTGAAGTGAAGTGAAGGAGCAGGGGGAGGAGGAGGAGGAGGAAGAAAAGGGGGGGCAAGTGCCACAAAAATCAGGGAGCGGCTGCTCGACCCTTGCGGCGCATCACGGCAGCAGTCAAGTGAATGTGAAAACAAGAGAAAGCTTTGCCGAATATTGATTTAATGCCGCAGCCTGAGCAGGGGAAGATGCGCGGTCCAGATTACATGCGCTCTATTTCCCACCCATACAGAACCTTGAGTTCCACTGCCTCCTCATTCCAGAGAACCAAGGAGAGACCAAGGGAGGATGCTCTTCTATGTGCTTTCGCCCTCTGTGAAGTCTAACTGTGTAGAAAAATCAATATGGAAATATGAAACAGAGTATAGAACAGCATTAATATGTAAATTAGATCATGCTCCCTTTGTTTCTATACATGTTAAAGAGAACATTAGAAGAAGTTCTCGCTGTTACCTCCCATCACAGCACCTTTACTGTAGGTTGTATCCTTTCCTATCAATTAGCTTCCTGTATCCTAAATAATACATTGGCTTGGACCTTGTGAGAATCAAAAATGGATTGATTGTCGAGGTTGGTTTTGGTTGTAGGAACAACTAACTACACTATGGGAAGAAAGCACCAGAACAACTTGAAGTCAAACTATGAAAATAATGCATTTCATATAGTGTCATTTTGGTGTAACAAAAGTGGTGGGAAAAGGAATTCATCATATTCCTTGCATTTGAGTCATGATGATTCCTTTGTTAAGATTCTTTATATTAATATAATTGAAGCTGTATGTCTGTTACATCACATTCAAATCAGACAGGCCTGTATGTTTGTGTGTTGGGGTAACAGTATAATATTTAAAAGTCAAGCACAACAAAGACCTATCAGTGCAATATCAGACAATTGAACCAAAAGTCTATGTGAACTTGCTCCATAATGGATAAAGGTCACCTGATAGCTAAACTAGCATAATCATCTTGCCAGTACATCAAACTTCTACGACACTTACCGCTCACTTGCTGTATTTCTAGATGCTGCTTCCATTTTTAGTTGTCATTTTTACTTTTCGGCATAATGCTGAAAACGTTGAGATCAAATTAAACCTAATTTAGATTAAATTGCCAACATCTCCAAGTTGACAGCCGGTCAAAACGTGACTCACCAGACATGTTCATTCATTTCTCCTTACTTAGCCTTAGAGAGGAAACAGAATATGTTAATTTCGCTGCTCTGGCTTCCGTATTACTGGTGGAGGTAGATGACAAAAAACAGATCTTTGGAACAATTTGTTACTTACTGCCCCCCGCCAAACCCCCCCTGTTGAAAATTATGAACAGTGGGCCGCACTCGCATTCTTGCGCACAGCAAAATGGGGAGGTCCGCTCATGTCCTGAGCCAATGGCGTACAGAGCTGCCTTATTATACTGATCCCCGATTGGCCAATGGCGCACCTCTCCCCTGCTCACATGACGCCTTTCTGTGCGCTCCCTCTCCTCTCAGCACTCAATCCCGGCGAGTGCAGGCATCACTGAAGACTTGACACCAGCGGAATCGGACGTCCACTGTCCTCGGCAGATTTAACCAGGTGTTATCTTATGCAAACTTTATCACCATCAGATGAAGATGACCAGCCTGTCGCCGAGAGTGAGACCCCTTCGCTGGAGGAACAGACTTTTTTCCGTCTCCAAAAGACCGGAGAGTCACGAAGCGAGACAATAACGCCCAGAAGTTACTGAAATGAATCGTAAGTAGGCAACATAATATATTTATCTGTTACTTACTGTTACCATTCAAGAAATAAGTCGTTTTATTTATAATCTAGTCCTATTTTTTAGTTTTAAAATCGTGACTGCATGTGGCACTTGTGCTGTGTGCTTTCTGATTTGTTTTTCTAGGCTACATTTAAAGGCGAATTAAACATTTTAAACGGTCTATAGGCTTTTATTGCTAAACACATGTGACTTCACTTGATGCTTGAGTCGTCTAAAAGTTAATTTTGTACAGTCGACATTCTTTGTGCGTCTCTGTGAATGTTCTCATTGTATATGTGGCTGTCTATGCGCAGCGCCATAGCATGGAATATAGATAAAAAGCACACGGTACACCCGCTGACCCGAGGCAGGCTGGCTGTGCAACCGGTCCACACGGCTCAATGAGGACAATTAGGGGGGGGACAGGAGAGAAAGAGGAAAAAAATGGAGTTCTTGAAGCATACTGAATCAGGGCTGCACTTCACTTCAGCCGGCCAGACAGGATAAGGGTGGATCTTCAATACCCTTTTGTGACATATATCCAATGCAGGATATGACAAAAAGTGAAAAGTGTAGACACAGGTCATGCAAAGATCAAAAACTGAAATGCATTTTTATTTTTAGTTCTTCCTCTATACACATTTATGTCAAATTACAGTACATTTAAAAGACACTCAATTAGGTCATGTAGTTTGCAGAACCCTTTTATTGATTGGAAATTAGGGGGTAGTGGGGTCAAGACAGTAGAAAGGGTGGCTGCTGCAAAATGTGGGTACATTTAGGAAAGCAGAAAAGGTACCCTCTGATTTTCCGTGATTTCTGCACAATCAGAGGGAAAGAGCGGGGACTGGGGCCATTTGATGTTTTGAAAGACTTCAGATGGCCTTAATTAGGACCTATAAAATCGGTCTGCTCCATTCTCTGAGGCGGCGCTCTGGAGGGGTGAGAAGGGAGGGGAGCTGAAAAAAAAAGAAAACCGATACAGAATGTCACTTCTGCAAAGGATTGTCTAATGAAATTTTTATAACCTCCCTCTCCTTGATGCTGGTGGTATGTAGGCAGCCCTCTCATTCCCTCTTTGTCTGGCTGCTGTGTTATCTACACCACCCTCAACCTAACTACCACCTACAGTCAGCCCTAACCCAGACACCTGAAGGCTAGACATAATGATCAAGAGAAGTTTCAGTCAGTCTGGAGCACAGCCAGTTGTTTGAGGTTTTCTTCTTCTTCTCCTCTTTTATTAACCCCATCCTGGCCTGGCTGACACAGCCCATTCCTCTGCCTCACTCTCTCTCTCTCTCTCTCTCTCTCCATCCACAATCAAGACACGCTATATTGTTTGTACGTGTACGTGTGGGGGTTGGGGGGTACAGGGTTGCAGTTTCATTGCTACTGCTTCTGTTGCTGCCACTGTGTAGCCTATGGATCTTGAATGGAGTGTGGGTGACTCACACAGCTGCAATACACACACTTATGAGGAAACATCAAAGACTTCTTCTGTGCGTGTGTTAGTGTGAGATTTCAGCTATGCTTTTCTGGCAAGCGTCTGCAAGAATAGTTATGGCCATGTTGCCTGTAGTTTTTTTCATTTAGTCTCTATTTTGTTCAATTAGCTAGGGTTTATTTGCGGTTCTACTTGGCTCATCTATTGTAGCTGATATTTTTCTGTTCTACCAAGCTTGATGGGTTCTCTGTTTTAAGTATGTCCATTTTGACAATGTTAAACCTTAATTTAAAAATGCAGTTGGGATCAATGCAATACATCATTCCATTATTAACGAATGCGATCTTTTGAACTTCAAAAGTTCATTTAAAAAAAAAAAATTCTACTCAAAGATTCCATTGTTACTGTATCGCAGATTTTAAATGAGGCCGTCAGACGCTGTCTGTCGCATCACGTCACTATCTGTGTAGGCGGCTTTGACTTGGGGCTTAAGCCGATATGGCTTCTGAAGTAGTGAAAGGATGGAGAAAACACTAATTAGAGGTGGGAGTTGGTAAAATGCTTAAATATGTGAATTTCTTTGATGGACAAATTCCTCTTTAGGAGTGTCTTTCGTCTTCCGAGGAATACGTGCCTTTGTTTCCTCGATGTGTGTTGGTTAGGGATTACATCATTTGGCTGTTGCTGGGTTAGCTAGATAAGAAAGCTAGCTTGCTTTATGGAACATGGTTTGTTGGAGTGGAGTCTTTGTGTGACATATATAAGTTTAGTTGTATGTAATGTTTTTTTCAGTTTCTTGTAGATATAGCCAAATTATTTTGGAGTTGTTTTTGCCAATGATGACCACTTTTGAAAGATTATGCCCTAACAGCGGGGAATGGGCTCTCTCGGTTCCCCTTAACCATGCAATCTTCTCAAAAATATTGTTTGAATAACAAGTGTTCTAAAATGTGCACAGAGCTTCAACCAAAATCCTGCAACTTGTTTGTTTTCTGTGTATCACAGATTGAGGACGTCTCCTCATCTGCCACCCTTTGAAGGGGGAAGTAATAAAAAGCTCAATGGGTGCAACAAGCTGTTCTTCCCTCCTACACTTTGAGGTTTTCTACCTGGAGATGAATAGGGGGCCCCTCCATAACGAAGGGCGAGAAGACAACATTTTATTGGCTGAGGATGTGGGGGGATGCGCCATAGCTTATAGACACTTGGTGTGAAATAGTTGTTGTTGTAATTGTATTAGTCTATAGGAGAGCATGGTGTTCCGAGTTTAGAACCAGAATTATTACTATTTGAGGTTATTCGAAGGCATACTTTTCTAAATCATTAATCTGTTTACATAGTTGACTTCAAATGATGTCAATATATTAAGGTTTAAGTAGGTCAAAAGGGTGTTATGTAAACATGAACAAATTGTCCCGTTAAATCCCGCTTGAAATGAAATACTGTCTTTATAGCGTGTTAATACAACATGATAATGACATTGGACAATCACAAAGCCACCGATTAGGATTTACGGTAACCAGATTTATGCGTGAAGGAGTGAAGTCATGGTCAGGAATGTAAATGTTGGAGTCATTCAATTACCTCCATGCCCTTCCCTGGGAAAAGTCCCCAGCCGTGAAGAGGTTAATTGTTTTTGAATCTCCATCCGAGAGGAGAAAATGGGCGAACGGGAGGGATAATTGAGCCGCTGATAGTTGAGTGGATTATGGATTACTGCGCCTTTCCAAAGGAGTAAAGAAAAAAGAGCTGAACGAGAGAGGAAGAAGAGAAGGGAAGGAAGGGCTGTGCGAAAAGCTCAGGTTGTGCAATGCAGCCGCAGGGGTCATCTGGCCTTCTTAGGAAGATGGAGAACTCCAATCCTGTTTAGCCCACGAGGTGACCCTTGACCCTTTGCATGCTCCTCCCTGCTCCAGGTGCAAGACCTCACTGCTGGCAGCTCGCTCACAGACACACACTGCAAGCTTATTTTTCACACACTCTGCAAGCACTGGGGGGAAACGCCATGTGAAAGCACAGATCCGCTCAACATTTTCACCCCCCTGTTTTTTTCTTCATGCCATTCTATTGTCAGGGGTTAAAGATCCGAGCCTGCTTGTTGGGGGTGGGGGAGCGTTGCAATCATATAAGACCCCCCTTTATTCTTCCTTTGAAATATGTTCTCGGGAAGAAAATGGATGACTGTCTTTAAAACAGGAGGAAAAAAGATGATCTGACATGGTGCAATAATCACAGGACTGTTAATCAGAGGGATGTCATGTATAATTACTACAATGTTTGATAACATAACAGAGAATCACCTCAGGCTATTAGGGAAAGTTTCGCGATGCCATTAATAGGCGTTAATACAATTCAAGAAAACCCGGATGGAACGAGCCCTCTGCATGGCCCACTGGTTAAAGCACTGTAAGGTTAATGAACCAATTTACATACTTTCTGCTGCCATCTGGGTGGAGTAAAGAGGCAGATGCTTCCTACTCTGTACTGTCGCTCGGAGCTGTTCAACACAGGAATGTGTCAGGTCCACAGCGGTCGATGAGCAAATTTAACATTTAGCCTGTGGTCAAAAACAATCATGAATGAACCTGAAATCGATGCTGCTGAAAGCTCCTGCAGAAATACAGTTAGCATCAACCAGACTGCTTTTGTAGCATGTCATTATTCCATTTACCCATGTTGCACTTGGGAATAAATGAGTGCATGTTAAATATGGTTGGTTTCAAATTTCACTATTCTTATTCATAAAATGTGAGGCCTAGGAGTGGACCATATCCTTACCATTTCCCATTTATAAAAATAAATAATAGAACATTAGAAAGATAGGGGTCATCTGTGCTCTAGGCAAGGAGAAACTTGACAGGGGTGATCTACAAGAATAACCATAGACGGTGCTGGAGACTTGGACAAACGGAGGATAAGTGTCAGTCCACCTCTCTGCCATCCTAATCTGGGTTATCACATTACAGTATGGAGCTCTTTTAGCGGTGCAATACAATGAGATGAGTGGGCAATCAATAAAGCAAATGGATATAGTTTAAAAAATCTAAAGCTCTGGCTGGCATGGCCATCATCTCCCCCTGTCTGTTGGAATCAGATAAGGGAGTGGGGCCTTGCAGGAAAGGTTGTTTGGCCCTAGGGCTGCTCGACTTGACTGATATCCCTCCTACTGGCACCCGTGGCAGACTGATTTCATCTGCAAATGGGGGCAAAACCAAAACGTTTTTGCATCTCTGTGATACTGTACATGTGGTAGAACAGCTGAAGGAATAGATGAGTAAAATGGAGCATAATGTTTAATCCCCCGCAGTGTGTATAGGCAGACATTTGCAGGCTACTTCGCTAACCCTTCTGTTGTCCTCCATGGATGATGGCTTTTACCTCATGCATCACTTACATGATTTAAAGAAAAAAAAATCACCCAGGTTTTGGTTTGACAATGTGTCATAGCTGGTGCGAGTGTTCCTCTCAGATTAGCTCTTTGTGCTGTGAGGAGAGGAACGACGCGGTGGGGGAATGGGGGGGTCAGGGATGGGGGAACAATACCGCTGC